GATCCACTATATATTTGTCTCCCTCTAATTAAAGATCCCGCCCAATTAAAGACCACCTCCAATTAAAGAACTCTTTTCTGTGGTCCCATATTAACAAATGTCTTTTACCTTTACTAATTAAATTTATTTAAAAATTAAGAACAAAGCTGGTAAAGACCGTGGAAACCCCAGTCCAAAAAATTGCCTTTTAATATTTGCCTTCCAAATTTAGTAATTTTTTTATGCTTCAATTCAACACTGTGTAATTTAAAACTATATGTACAACAATTCTTTTGAATGTGGATCAACTTTACGATAATCGTTAACTACCAATCTCAGAAAATTTGTAAAGATCTTACCAATCGCAATACGTTTCTAAATAGAAAGTTTAATTTTCACAGTTGATAAAAAAACAAGATAGGCCTAATAACAGTATTACGGTGTACCCGCCACTGCAATATCAATGCTATTAACGTAATCTTTTATAGATTACATGTTTAAGTACACCTAATCAATGCTCTTGGACTAATGAGCAATATTATTGGTTACTGGTAGCAACATGTTTTTAAAATATATATTTATGCTGATCAACATCCTCGGGATATATATTAATGTTAGATATAATGTACAGTACACGTGGGGGTTATTAGAAGATGGAATAATAAGGCAATTGTTATCGATTTACAAATTGCTTTCTTGCATACAGTAGACTTTTAAAAAAGTGGGTTTCTCTAAATAGAAATTCATATGTAAACATTTTTCTCAAATATAAAAAACAAACTTTTGTTCCCACCATTATCACCACTACATATTCAAGGTCACAATATTACCATAACATTATTAATGTTAATACATGATCGTTATCGTATAAATTTTCATTACCGCAACATCACACCATATTATTGTCACTATCTCATTATCAATGTCACAGACATATATATGTAAATAAAGATAAATAAATAAATCAATGTTGCATTATCATATTAAATTGTCACCAACACATCATATCACCACTATCACACCATCATATTATCAACATTATATTGTCACTATCACATTGCACCATCACACTATCACTATCATCACATCATCCTGATCACATTATCACCACCATGTATCATCACTAGCACACTATCACCATCATATCACTAATGTCACTACCATCACATGATCAACATTATACTGTCAATATTACATTTGACCATCACATCTCCAAATCATTATCACATCACCCTGATCATATATCATCACTATCCCCATCACATCACCCATATCACATTAACATCACATCAACATTATATTATGACTATCACATTGCACCATCACATCATCATGATCATACCACTATTATCACCATCATATCACCAATTTCACATTACCATCACATTACATCATTACAATCACAGTACCACCATTATCACATGATAGTATTGCATTATTAACATTCAATCAGCATAATGACACCACCATTGAGTGCAATAAGACACTCTGAAGCTACAACTTTCTAAGTAATTTTGAATGCTGTCTATACGTGATCAACGTCTAATTTCCTTTCATTCAACCTTCCTTCTTTACAGATAATTACTTGCGAATCCAAGAGTATGGTAATAAATGCAATTTTAAGTCAACCTCAGCAAGTCTACCTGTAATTAGCTTGAAAATTAGGATGGATAATGACTAAAGTCTTGTGAGCTTCCTCTGTGCAATTATGCACAAAAATAAATCTGCCAGGAATATGTAAGGAGCCACTGGATTACAACATGCAATGGGATGGAAACCAGAATTGGTGTCCACTTCTATTGGAATATAATTATTCATTTTTATTTAATCTATATTTAGACATTTAATTCCCTTGAAAAACATTGGTTCACTTTGCAGAAGTCTACTATAAACTTTTTATATCTTCTGTTTTTGTTTTAGATATGTTCGTATGTAAAAAATTAAAAAAAATTTTAAAAAATCATGTTTAATAAGGGTGTCCAAAAATGAGGACTTTTTATTATATTGCAAGTTAAAATACGAACAATATTCAGAAATTTTGTATAAATTTAATGGCTGCATAATGTTTATAAAATTTGTACATTTGAATGTTGGTATTAATTTCAATATATTAATTTTTTTATGGATATGAATCAAGTGATTTTATTTGCTAAAGAGTGGCACTCGCAAAAAAGTGCCACATTTTGAATAAACATCATGACACTCAATTATAAAAAGCACAAACCTAAAATGCTTGTTTAGTATCATAGAAATAACTAATTAGCCGAGTTATCACTGAATAAATTAATAGTAAATTTGCAACATGTATTAGGTTGTGCATACTGCATTCAATAAGCTCCACTCACAAATAGCACTACTCTTAAATTAACACCGCTATCATAATCACCCAATTGAAGCCCCAAAAATCTCTTAAGCGCCATAGTACTTTATTGAAACATTCCAAGTAAAGACGATTTACACTCAGTCAGTTGCTTGATGTAAACACAGACAGAAAATCACTTTAATTTATGCAAATATTATTCTCTGTCGTAATCTAAATTCAAAGTTGTAATGAGACTACGACTACCTGTAGTATAAACACGCCACACTATGAAGGCTGTGATTAACTGTCATTAAGTCTGGTTATCAGCTTCTGCCTAAGTCCTAATTAGTTTGCTTGTGAGGTATGCATTGACCGATTTAAATTGCTCTCTGAGGCCTCATTCTATCATTCTCTGTATAACGTGTATTCTATATTCATCATAACATGATTTACACTTACAATGAAGCAACAACAAATTATTTAAAACATTGTAAATTTTACTGCAAATATTGATAGTTCTTCTATTATTAATTAGTTCTTTAATATTTTTCATACTCCACCTTGTTGTTGCTTATTGATCAAAATTGCTTATAAGTAAATACAGGTCAGCTCTCTCTAATTAAAGTCCCCTCTAACACAATAACTTTATATTATTGCGTGCATTCTTGAATTTCAGATATTGCATTTATTTATTTATTTATTCAATTTTATTACAAATAAAAATGCATCATTTGGATAATATAAAAAGGCAAATATTAAAAATTGCACAAACATTAAAAAGTGATTATATAACAATACTATAGACCAATATATAAAAACATTCAAATTCAAAATAAAAAATTACAAAAATAACATTGCACAGATCAAGAAATTCATTATATAAAAATAGAAAAGACAAAAAAAGGAACATTGAAATTCAGAAAAAACAATTACAAAAAAAAAACATTGCACAAGATAAAAAAAAGAGGTTTATAAAAACAGAAGAGACGGGAAAAAAAAGAACATTGGAATTCTGGAAAAAGAAAATTACAAAAAAGAATAGTCACAGACGTTAATAAAGCAAAGGACATTACAATTTTTTTTAAAGCAAATAAAAAAACATCAAGAAATTAAAGAGCGAGCCATGGAAAACAGTTGTTGCATACAATGAAAGTTGTAAAGTACAGCATACTATGCATGTTCTGGAATGCCAGAGCCTGTGGCCTAGACACCAGAAAATAACATACTGTATTTGTAACATACTCATTGTTGCACCCATAGCGCCACCCTGTTGTACGCATGTATTGTCTAGAATCAATGTGTTAAAAAAACACTAAAGTATCTACCATTTACCAGTACAGTAACAAATTTACATCAATTTTTAGACAGAGGGCGCTATATTAAATCATGGTCTAGCCTACAATCATCATTTGCAAAGTGTCAATTGGTATCATAATCGTAAAATGCAGCATCTTGTATTATCAAGAATTTATGAAATTTCATTTTGTAATGTACAATAAAAGGAGTAAAAAATAGTTACTCAATATGTTGCAGTATTTGATTCTTTGTCACTTATGCCTAATACTTTACAAGGTTTTAGATGAATATTGACAAGTTGTGGGAAAAAATGCTGGTGTTTTTTTTATTTGAATTTATATCTCATATAAATTTATGTAATCTGTATGTCCACTTATACTAATAGACTCAAAAATGGTTAAACAAACCTTCAAATTTGGGTAACGTTGGAAATGTATCTGGATTAGCCGAGCAAATGGGCTGGATTTACAGTAATGACGATGTTAGAGGTATGATCAAAAATGCGAAAAAACCAACGAAAATAGACTCTTTGGCGGCCATGTTTCGTGGGCAGTTTTCATCGCCTCAGTGGTGAACAGCCGAGCTCAGATCTAAGAAATACCTAGCCAAACCACAAAATAAACAGTAGCAGCGATGTGGATGGCAATAAATACTATAGTAACGCCTGTGATGTTGAATTGCATACATACTCAGTACTTTTTATTTATATATACTATATGATGATAGTATTTGGGTAATTTACATATAACCCATGTCCCACAAGACTGTGTCTTTAATACTATAATGGGTAGTTTTCGCCGCATGACATTACCGTTAGTACCCAACATGCAGCGTGATAGCTCCGCCCCTTTTTGTAAACAAATCGAAAAACGCATGTGCGAACCTGTAATTAACATACGTCGAGCACGTAAAATCCTAAAATTAACGTATTCCGCAAAGCAAGATGAATAAATTATGACGTCATCCGTTAACGTTAAGGTTACCGTCGTGCAGCAAAAACTGCCTATTATCAATTCTATCCCGAAAGTCCGCACATGTCCAACATGTGCAGCAAAATATAATAAAAGATGTGCTGAGCTAACCATTCTTTTGAAAATGGCTTCTTCCTACTTGAATCGAGTCCTGTGAAATCCCTACATAATTATTATTAAGTGCCCTAAAAAAATGTTGTTAGAGGTAATATGAAAATTAAATATATATTTGTCTCAATAAACATTTTTTAATCCTAAGTAAATTTTCAACAACGTGGAAAAGCATGAATCCTCCACCTAAAAAATTAATAGTCTCCTTACCCTACACTTACAGTAGTACTGTGATCAGTTCCTTGTTTTAAAGGCCTCATCTATTCTTTGCTCTTCAAACCCTATCCTGAAATGGTTCCTATTGTAACTTTGGAATAATTGTAATACTGGATTTCACTTACCATTTTGCTTTAAGGTGGCTTTAAAGTTATTAAACGGCGCCCAGTGACGCTCTTTCCCATAGATCTCCTCAATCTCGTCATCGCTGAGTGGTGTCGTACCATGGCTTGCACGCAGGATGTACCCATCTTCTGAGAACTTGAAAAAATTGCCTTTTTCAACATCACATACCAGACCTTTTGTTCTGTTGAAGAATGAAAAATATAGCACCAAGTATGATACATTTATTAGCAATGCACTTTAGTATCTACCTACCAGGAGCTAGAAAATCTACTAATAAAATATATGAAAATCTAAATAATCAAATTAGTAGTAATTCAAAACTAGAGAAATTAAGTAATTAAAATAGTTAATCTATTATTATTAAGCAGCTTTGAATTTTGTAATGGCAATGTTGCCTATTTTTCAATTTGCAGCAAAACAGACATATTGGTTAAAAACTCAATCAATTTTCCAAGAACGTTAGGATACTTTTGTTATCATTGACTGCCAAACCTTTTTTTCCTAGTTCTATCATACACTGTATGCTGAGGCATAAAGTGCACCAGTAAAAAAAAATCATTCCCATCTATTTTCAGATCATTACTTCTGGATTCTTCTCAGAACCTTAAGGGTGAGTGTTAGTGTTCTGGCGATGACAGCTAGTGAGTTTACAGTATGTGCAATACTGTACAAGAGTGGTGTGTTTGGACAGAGTTGGACATAATCTCATGCCGTTGGCAGCAAAACTCATAAAAATAGTTGTTTTTTCTTTGTTTTTGTTCAGTCAGAAATTACATATGAAATTAAAATTGATGCTTACACAAAATCTTTATCTTCTTCCAAAGGCCGTGCAATATCTTCATCATAGCCGAGATCCTCAACCAAATGCTTCACCAAACACTTGTAAATTAGCTGAAATCAAGCCATAATACTCCTTTACTATTGAGAATACAGACTTTGCAACATGTATAAAAAAAAAAAAGCAAAAATAGTTAATAACTAGAGCAATCACTCCATATAGAGAGTGCATATCTCCACCCTGTGCCTGAATAACGAACAATACGCAGGCCGTGTATAATGGGTTATGATCCATTCCATTAGTTTTTGCATAATCTTGCTGATAGACAGGCAGACAGCCGTGAATACGTAGCCTCTTTTGCCGGAGGCAATACAAAATAATGTCAATAATCTAATACTGCCAAATGACATCAGTCTACTTTGTAGATACTATTTTTAACATTTCCTTAAATACAATAAGAGATAATCACGAGCTCAGCAGAAGTGGGTAATTTTTCCATGAGTGTGGAATTATGCTGAAGACAGGGTGTTGGGGTAAATGATGGCTCCAGATATATGCTGACAGGAGTTCAACAAGTCTGACAGGTGGTACCAAGAGGCCGAATAGAGCCTCAGTCAAGGATCCCGGAATAAAATCGTTAGTGGAGTTAATGAGAAGACATTTTCTAAATTTTATAGTTAAGGATGGCCCAATATTGTGGTTTTAGGCCATTATATTTCTAAATTGATAATTGCTTTTTTGCCTTATAATGTAACCAGTTGCATTCAACATACATGCATACAGTACAATATTATCACAATATCATACATGCCAAGTGTATAAGAGACAGATATTAAATCATGGTCTAGCCTACAATCATCATTTGCAAAGTCCCATTACTTGGGGTCTAGGGGTTGGGAGGGTATGTCCCCATTACATGGCGTCTAGGGAGGTCTAACCCCCATGGAAGCTTTAGCTATTTAATGGATTATAAAGGGTAATTCTTATGATTCTTATGATGCGTATTACAATAGTCAAAGTATTGATTTTGACTTGTGTTTGATAGAATCATTTGTCTTGTGGGGCTACGACTATATGAATCAATTTCACATTTGCTGGCCTTTCCACAAGGTACAAAATCCTTGTCATAAATTGCGTTTTCAATGGGCATAAATTAATACAGATAATTACTGGGTGGGTACTTTAGTAAATGGTACTTCATGTATTATTCAGTGCAAGATCTGGTCCAACTACGTGATGATTCTTTATACAAGTATTCTAATCGTAATTATTATTGACCTTCATTAAATGATTCCAGAGAGACTGCACCATTAGGCTGAACAACATATATAAAAAATAACATAAATATTGAGGTTTTTCTTATTTTATTGCAAAAAAAGACAAATTAATATATAAGTACGCATATGCAATTTTCTTTGTAAATTGGGAGAACATGTGAAAAAACGTGAGAAAAAAGGCCGGGAGTTCACCAAAACGGGTCTTCCGGCCAAAATGGGAGTGTTGGCATGCATGCAATATTATGATTTGACAATCACAATAATTATTTTTTCAGGGCATGGATATTGTTCAAAAACGCCGTACATATGCCTAGACTGAAGTTTGGATCAAGCCCGCTTCACCAATCACAGATATTCCAACACCCGAACGTCCAAAAGCCGGACACATCCATATGAAAAGCGGGACTTTTTGTTCAAAAGCGGAACAACGTTATATAGGTCTCCCCCCAATTAACGACCACTTTTGGGGCTGGGGTTTTCGTGACCTTTATCAGAGGTTTGGATAATTGAAAAAAATAAATAATCAAAGTAAAAATGAAGGCAGAAATGCAGCAATTATAATGCTAAAATAATATATTCATTTTTCTTTTTTATCACTTTATTCAAATTCAACATAGAGAACATACATATTCAAAAACGAAAAATATTAAAGGGACGGAGAAGCCTTAGACTTGTCCATATAACAGGACATGCCTGGGAGACAAATAGAGACATTCGCAAAGAACAGGGTTACAGGATGGACAGAAAATGTATAAAAATATATGATTGGCAGTTACTCAAAAATAAAACCGAAAAATACAGAATTCAAAAGTTTCTTTAAAAAATTGAATAAGAAAAATAGAGCAGAATTTATTTTTTTAATTATTCATATATATATAGATTTGTATAATATATCGACCATAAAAATAAACACATCGTGTCTCGCAATCCGTCACAAGGTCACATGAAGTTTACCGCTGATATTAGTACCCCAGCTCGGCACGTTTTCATGCGCTACACTGCGTAGCCTAACCACATTCTACCACAACACGGCTCATCGTCTGTATGAAAAATATTATTAGTTTATCACCATATCTGGGCAGGAAAAGTGATGAGGGAGGGAGGCTTTTTTTTTTTTTTTATTTTGCTAAAGCCAAATATCACCCTTGTGTTGTTTGCTGGTGCATTGATATTCAAAGTAAAACATGATTTAGATAATGCAAACAATATCTACTAACTATTTAATAAAATAAATGAAAAAATAAATAAATAAAATTTTTTTTTTTAATTTTTTCCAAACAAATTTTTTTTTTTTCCAGTACCATAGAAGACATGCGCGCGGGGGTGATAAACTAATAATTTTTTTTATTGGGCCTTATTTTTTATTAATAAAAGTTAAAATGCGGGACAATTTGGGGGTTGGACACGACTCCCAAAAGCGGGACAGTTGGAACCTATGCCAATCAATATGTCAGATTTGTGTAAAATCGTCAGAACAATATCAACTGCAATTTGTTTGATATTTTAAAACGACCTCATCATGCCGTCAGGCAACAGGGGTTCGAAACATCTTTGTTTTGATGGGATAAGATACCTACTGAAAACTCTCTGGCGCCGCCATGCCATGGTTGGGAATTACAGTATCTGAGGCGGTGGGCGCGAAAAAAAGGGTTGAATGTTTTGTCCAGCCCCCCCAGGGCAGGGAGTTGTTTGGTTATTTTTGCATTGCTCTGCTGCAGGCCAGTTCATAATTTCATTGCATTGCAGAAAAAGTTCCCTAAGGCCCCATAAAAAAAATGATTAGTTTATCATCCCCGCGCGCATCTCTTTTGACGAAATCGCGATATTTTTTTTTTTTTTACTAGATTTTTTTCATTGAAAAAACGATCGTTTGTTCGTCAAAAACAAATTTTAAGGCTGGTGAATGATGATTTTCGATCTTTAGAGTAGTCGGCAAGTAACAATATCTATTTATAGGCGATCTTTTTCATACTGCGCATGTCCACAAAGAAAGAGAGATATGACGTTCGTTGACGACGAACGGCGAACAAATCTCAAAGTTTCGCGCGCTAGCTTTGCTCTCTCTATAATATCATATTTAATAAAAGTACATGTGTTCTTGTTAATCCGACTTCACTTTATTCTTGACTTTTGTGTTTTTAAACCAATCACACTGGCGAACAGCGATGGGACAC